GCATCGTCGACCGTTGAATCACGCTTGTGATTGCTCATCTTTACTCACGTTCCTTTTTTCATTTTTATCCAACGTGCGATTCCCACGGTGCGATTTCGCTTTCTGACGTTAATCAAGCCCGAATAACATAATTTTCTGTCTTTCTTTCAAATTTTGTGATAAACTTTTATCTCAAATTGCTGCAAAGTTTATCTCATGATATCGAAAAATATTTCAGCGATAAGTTTAAAAATCAGAGTAATTCATTTGAACAAAAATACTTTTGGGAAAGTCGTATTTTCTTTTTATATGAACTTCTTTCGGTTCCGGTACAAATTACAGATATGTTTAGATATCTTTTTTCGATACCCCGAATTTATTCTTGAAAACGTACATCTAATGCCGCAGCCGATTTTTTGTCATGCGATATGACTTCATGTATTCTGAGAATATTTTTATTTCCTTTCGATCTGTCCTGGTGAAAGTTTCTAACCATTAACACTTTTCATTGGACTGCCTCCAATTTGGCTAGCTTATATAATGTTTCTTATTTATAGTATTTAGAAAAAATAATAAAATATAATCTGGTTTACTTATTTATTATTTGGTATAAAATTTGTATGGAGAATACTTTATATTCAATACAAAATAAAAATTTTCTCCTAAGATCACAATAAGGATGAAAAAAGATAAAAATTAATTCACTCAATTTATGGCTTATACGATTTACAGATTTTTATTAAAACGATTCACGATAACTTTGAATAATTCAATAGATAATTACTTTTCTACGTGATTCTGCATTTCAAATACTAAATAAAAAACATTACATAAGTCAAATTGGAGGCGAACCAATGAAAAATGTTAATGGTAAGAATTTTTCATATAATTTTTTAAAATTTGTATGTAAATTTCAGAATTTCTGAATAATTTTATAATTATATTTTAGAAAATTTCTCAAACTTTTTATATAAATTAAAGTACTTTTTAGAAGTGTCAAGAAAGTTTACATTTTTTCTAAAAACTTTTTATATATGTGAATTCTAAAATATTCTAAGATTTCTTATTCTATAATTTCTAGAGATATCTTATAAAATCTGAAAAAGTTTAAGATATTTTTTAGAAATTATAGAATAAAAAGTTTCTTAGAATCTATCACTACGCTCCTCGCTCTGATGAAGTAAAGGTTCAGGAAACGTTGTATTAGCAATGAATCACAACACGGTGATAACTCGTATATCTTTAGCACCTCTGAAATAATATATGATTTTTAATTGGAGGATTCAAAATTTTTTTATTAAAAATGTTATTAACAGCTATCGTTATCGTTTGTTATAATTTTTCAATACATATAATTGAAAATATCTTTTTTGCTTTCTTGTATAATTCTAGATATTTTTTTTGTAGAATGAATACAAAATTATTATTAATTGATTAATAATTATTCGTAAGACAATAGGATATTGCAGAATTATGTATTGTTATTAAGTTGACTCCACGTTAAAGCAATTGATTTGTAATCGACGTTTTGTTGATTCTATAACTCTTAACGACAGTTTGATATCGTTGCATTGTCGTTGCGTAATTTTTTTTTTGCCATAATATCTGCACAACAATATAATATCGACACTGTCATTAAAAGTTGAAATATTTGATTTGATTTCGAATCTTCATTCTATACATTTCAATTTTACTGAAGTTGATTAGAAAATTTGAAGAAGTTTAAAGTGGATAATAATCTGTTTCCATTTCAATAATTTATACATAATTATTTATTTATTGTATTATAGATACATGCTTTTTTATAATTTAGAAAATTGTATCTTGTGCCTGGACAACATCTTACATAAGACAGGATTAATCTAAACATCACAGAAAATGACAGACACAAGAAAGTGTAACAAAATAATATTTTTGTGATGTAAAGTACAATTATGTTATAAGTATCGTGTGTTACATTATATTAGGTCAGATTTTTCTTTTACTTATATATTCATACAAAGTTTTCTCTATACTATTTTATGAAATTGCGCGCAGCATATGTATATAAAGTAACTACATAAAACAAAACGAATAACATGTTAAAAAGTTGTTGGTGCTTTTATTTCTCTCTACATTTTCAATGCACTCACATGTAAAAAATGCAAATTATTTTTACAATTATGAAATTGCAGGAATACATTAAGCACTTTGAAACAGTCAAAGGCTTAACATATTAACAATCGTAATTTTATGCAACATTCGATGGAAGGAACCGGAACGTTTCTTACTTTTCGTCGTCAATATTTTAATATATTTTAACGACTAGAATAAACATGTACACATATAACCATCTACAGATAATAAACTAAACCGATACATTATTGTCTTTTCTTAGCAGCTTTTACAGCCTTTGATTTTTGTTTTTCTCCTCCAGAAAGAAAAGACGTTATTACTTCAGACATTTCTGGCATATTATAGATAGTGAGATTATTTAATTGCTCCATTTCCTACAAAATGCATTTAGTTTATGACTTTGTCAAGGACTAGAATATATAGACTACGTGTAAATAGTATAATAATCTATATAGACGAATTATCTTACAGTTAATTATCTTTCATTTACTTTTAGATATTAGAAAAAACTCTCCTAGTCTTTAGGGTCACTCAATTTTTGGCCGGTCTTTAGGTCTTCTTACCTTCCTAGTTTCAGGATCATTCATAATTTTTGGCAGAATCATTATCAGTACAAGTGGCAGAACCATCATTAGAACCTGAATACAGGAGCAAAAATATTATGATATTAGCGAAGGAAGTTTTTAGCCATTAAAGCCATAGATTTATATTATTGGGTCATCTAAAAACCGCGGATACTTTTTAGATGACCCAATATATAATAGACTGCATATTTATATATGGTAGTCGAAGACAACATATGAAGAACAGAGGTATGTATACATATATTAGACTTGTGCATAATGAAAGAAATATTAGCAAAGAGAATAGAAATACATATTAGAAAAATAAAAAAAATAGCAATGCATATTCTTTTATATATCTATTGTTACATATAAAATTAAATGTACCTTACATTTAATCTTTATTCCTAATTTTTTTTATTTTTCTATTAGGTGTTGGAATTAATTCGTAGCGTTTTACAAGTGATGGGAAGTACTTTCATTAATGTATTTTTTAATGCTCATGTGAAATAAATAACATTCTTTCATTAAAAACGCTACGAATTAATTCCAACACCTAATAATTAATATTTATTTCATTGTGTGTAGAACCTTACTCATTACATATTATTGTCCTTTCTTACTAATGTTGTCTTGACATCTCTAAAGGAAGCGTTTAGTCCACAGACCTGTTATTTTTAGCAAAGCTTCTTGCAATGATTCATCTTTCCCTTTTCTTCTCACGTTTGAGAGAAAAAGAGAGAATGATCTATACAAGAAGTTCTAAAACTAAAAAGAACAGACTCTATTGTATAAATCTATGATTAAAGTGTATGCATTGTCCACATGTCATTGAAAGCTCCATTACCATGGGATTGAACAGGAAGTCTGTTAATCGCCACTGTTCTCTAACTTGAAAATATCGAAATGGTGCTAAAGGCCTCATTTTCAATGGATAAGGTACTTGGATCACTTGCGACGTCTGTATCAAATTGACTTTTCGAGCTCGGAATTTCCCTTTCGAATTGATTTCTACTCTGACTGGCTCATAAACATAATTTGGGTTCACCACTTCAACCATATAAGAACCAGATGGGACGTTTGAGATTATAAACGTACCATCTTCCCTGAAATTAAACATCATTTAATATATGACACATCACATGTAAATTCATTGAGGCTTGTATTAAGCCTTGTCCACGATGTTAGAAATTGCTCTGAAATCTTGGAGAGAGAAAGAACAGATTACATTAATTAAAGAAATATTATTGACAATTAATTCAATATTAATACGAATTAAACATTGAACAATTCGACCAATTGACCAGTGTGATTGATCAATTCTTTTTATGTCTAAGATCTCGGGACGATTTTAGCATTGTAGACACAAGATTTTGCTCGTAGCTGCGTACCTTAGAAAACCATAGTGTTCACCTCCATTTGCCATCACATGTGTCATGAGTTGCCACCCAGTGGAAGCAGCGTTGTCCCAAGGGAACACTTTTCCCTCGATCACAAATAGATCTGTGGATGTGTCTTCTTCGTGCTCCGCTATTACGTATCGCTCACATGAATTTACAAGAATGACGAATAAACACAATATTCCCTTCATGATGACGCTAGCGGACAACCATTAACCTCTCAAGCCCAATTATGTTCTGTATATGTTTCTCATCCTGTCGATGTGCACTGCGCAGGCGATCAAAATCAACGGCGATGCATCTGACACCTGTGTATTTTGCTAGAGAAGTAGAAGTATCTTAATGTACTGTACAGAGTGATAAAATCTAACCACAAAATTTTGTTTTTATCAACTATTTTGTAAGTTATCAACGAGATACGTATATTATTAATTAAAAGACAGCCGGCCCTAGAAAAATTTTTATGACTATAAAAATTTATGTAGGACGAACTTGCACCATATGATCCATTTTCGACGTTCTCTATAAATTTTATCGACAGTTGAAAAATGGATGTTGCTACGTAGTGAGCATATTTCAAAAATGGATGTACTGGCGGTAGTGTACGGACGATTTTGATAGAAAAGGATGATCCTTTTCAAGTTTCTCTCTGATTAAACAACATTAAATAGAAAAAGCAGCTTTGCACTGTTATAAGATTCGTTAATTATGATTTGTTATATTAATTTAGATTCATCAAAGAACTAAAGGCAAGAACCAATCATATTAATGAATCTTACAACAGTTGCAAAGCTGCTTTTTCTGGAACGCAACTATTGGCGCTTGCTGGGGAATTTTTCTCATGAAGAAATTTTCCTAATCAATATTCAATAAACATAGTTGGTATTAATGAAATATCTTAAATATTTTCCTCATGAATTTAGAAATTAAATAGAAACGAATTTGGAGTAAACTGACAGATAAGTATATGTGACACATCACGCATATTTTGATTTAATCTAAATATATAGACATTTGAATTATTTAATGAGTGGTGGATTACGACAAGAATTTCGATGACATTGAATCTTGATGATAAAATTATTATGTTATGATTAAAAAGTATATATAGTGTTTCAATCTGAAAGATTGTCAATATGATTGAAATTACGGCAAAACTCGTTCGAGGCCCTGTGTATTTTTCCGGAGAGATTGTAGAATGTTTGGTGACGTTTACTAATCCTCCGAACCCAAATCATCAAATATCACAAAGTCACAGGTAAGAAAATGACAATGCTATTAGTAATGAATTGTTTATAACATCAATTGCTTTTCCACAGTGATCTATTCGAGAGCCTTGCATGGGCGAGTGCACAAGTCCATTGTCAATGTACAACGAACAGCAAAATGGTACTTTCAGAGAAAATAAATACTGCAGCTCGCTCAGTAGCAATTAACGCAAGTATGAATTAAAAAAAATATTTTAATCTTTTTTGCTTTTTTTTCTACTTGTTATTTACTACATTTATTATGACTTTGTAGATACCACCTTTGCACCATGGCAACAGGACAATGGACATGTAGTGCTGAATACAAAGCCGAAAATCTTATGTTGTGATTTAAGACTGTCACCTGGAGAAAGTAAGACTTGTAAGTTTTATTGTTTAATTAAATTCTTATAAGTCAACATTAGTCTGATAAGAATAAATCAAATAAAAGAAATAATTCTATTTTTATCTTGATAGAACTAAAAAATATATTTATAAATCTATATATGAATATTATTAAACATCGAGATCGAAAATAGATTTCTTTTTCTTAGTGGATAAATTTTTGTATTTGTAATTATGTTTTATTTCTGTTTAATAATTCTTTGTATGTTTTTTGTATTTTTCAAATTTACTAAACTCTTTTGTTAACAGATATTTATCGTGAAACAATACCAAGTGACGCTCCACCTTCATACAGAGGACAAGCTGTAAAATATTCTTATAAGATTACAATTGGAACACAAAGAGTGAATACAGTTATAAAATTGTTACGAGTACCATTCAGAGTACTTTCTTTAAGTGGTAAATAATTTAAAGTATTGGAAAATGTGATTATATGATAATATCACTATGATATAAAGTATAATTCATATATTATTTCATAGAATTACCAGAGATAACAGCATGCAATGATAGTGTGGATCTGAGTCCGAACAATCCATTTATGGAAACACAACATAGGGAAACTCCACTAGATATTGCTCTACAAACATTGCAGGTTATATTATCCTACTTAATCCATAAGTTCCACAGGAACGCATATATTTTTTGTAAACAAGAAATATATAGATCGCTTTGGAATCCATTAAAGTTTTTTGTTATTAGTTTTAAAAGTTTTAACTTCATGTAAAAAGTTTTATCGTTTGATTATAGCAATGTAGTATGATAATAGTTAGTCTACATGAATAGAACAAAACTGTCAAAAAGATTGTGAAACATTACTCCAAAATTACTTCAAATCGTTATACTATTTAAAAATAAGAAAAATGTCTCATAGATCTATACGTTCTAGTTATCGGTTAAATTTAATTATGTTTTAGAATTTAACAGCCAGACGCAGTCCAAACTTTTACAATGTGACAAACGGCCGCGGACGCGTAGTACGATTTTGCCTCTTTAAGAATTCCTACAAACTCGGTGAGGACATTGTTGGAACCTTCGACTTTTCGAATGCGACTGTATCCTGCGTTCAGGTATCCGTGTCTCTACAGTCAGAAGAGCACGTGTCGGAGGAGTACAAACGGGGGAAGATCGCAACGCCGACATTGATCAGCTACAACAAGCATCACGAAATGTGTCTCGGTCTCAAGTATTCACACCTGGTGCTACCGATACCTTTGCACGTTACGCCAGATTTTACTACCAATTTGGTGACACTCAAGTGGCGATTGCATTTCGAGTTCGTCACAACGCCGAAACTGATGGATATGCCCAATGAGAATACTATAAGTTGGCATGGACCGTCGACTCTGGATGTCGAAACGATGATTTGGGATCTTCCGTTGCACATTCATCCGACCACTACTCCACCGAATATGCCGCAACAGACGAAATACAACACCATCATATAGGTACCATAACATAGCATATGCATGTATATCTAATAAAACATCAATTAACATTAACAATAATATAACATTAATGTTATAATTTCAACAGTGTAAATATAATATAACACATGTATTCCATAATAGTAACATTATTGAGCATGAAATAATAACATTGATGTTATATTAGTTACTGAATTATTTAGCGTGTTCATATAAAAGAAGTGAATTATCGTTACTTTAATGCAATCAACAGATTAATATAAACAAAAATAATATAAAAATATAGTATATAATTCTGTATTTTGATTTTCATATGCTTTGATAAGTATGTGATTATTGTTCCATATCTTAGAAAACAATTTGCATTCTGTATCATAATTTATTATATATGAGAAAGATATATATATATATATTTTTTTTTCGTATATTTATATACATAAATAAAAAAAGTTCTGTAATAAAGGAAAACGTTAGAATAATTTGAGCACTTTTATATCTATGATAAATTTTATAATAGCATCTATGACTTTATCAGCTTTTGCTCCTACTCATAATAATGGTTTTTCTGGAGACTAGTGATTTCGCAGAAATGATATATTACACAGCGATGAAGAAAAATAAACAGACTACTTTAATCTCTCTAAATAACGCTAGTTCATATAAATCCTTCTTTTGTATAAGTCATGAGAATATTCTTAACGTTTTTTTTAACTGCACTTTTTCCTGCAATCTTATCTTTCCTATTTTTCAAAAATCGTTCCTTGAATGTTGTTACTTTATTAAGAAATTGCAGTTAACAATAACAATCCTTGCGAAAACTTAATACATGTAAAAAAATCGATAAATTAATTTATTTTGCAATATTATTACGATTTTTAATTTTTAATCTCTTGAATATTACTAATGCATATTTGCTTTAAAAATTGCAACTTATATAATTTTTTGTATTTAAATATTTTCAAAATCAATAAATCTAAATGGAAAGTAAAAAATTATCAAATTTAGAACATATTATAACAATATGTAATTCCTTTGAAGACAAATATTTGACTCTATAACTAAGACCGTGTGTTTCTTCTAAAAAAATTAATGTCTCGCAAGGAAGCATTAAATTATTCATAATATTACGAAATTCTTTTGTTTCCCAAAACACTTTTTCATTCATTAATTTTTTTCGGGATTTGTTCTCGCATCAATGAATTATCTAGTGACGCGCTTCATAAGAAAACTGTCGGTCGTCTTGTTCAATTGGTAGTCTCGGCAGAGGCGGTACCAAGGTTGGCGGCGAGGGGGTGGCGAAGGGCGCGTGATAATCATACCGGTAGTAAGCTAGGGATTCCCATCGGGCCGCGGCCGGATGTTGCACCTCGAAAGACGTCGGCGGAACCGACGGGGCCGCGTAATAGCCGCCGGCACGGTCGCCAGGTACATAGTTGTATTGTGGCTCCAATAGACTCTGCAGGTGCCTGATGTATGTGATGGCGTGGCGCAACGACTCGATTTTGGAGAGCTTCTTGCCGGGCGGCTTGCATATCGGCAGCTTCGACCGTAGCAGCTCAAATGCACGGTTCATGTCGCGCATTCGGGTCCGTTCACGATCGCAGGCCGACTTCTTGTAGTCTGAAATCGTTAATTACGTCGGAGTTAATGACTGTTCTTGCTCGCATACGCGCGTACTCGTCGTCGTCGTCGTCGTCGTCGTTGTCGTCGGTGTATTGTCGCGAATGATTGAACGAATTGGTTCGGATGTTTTTCGGAATTAGACGATCTAAAATCAAATTTTTTAGAAAAACATTTTAGCTTTCACAAAAAGATGCTTATAAATTGTGAAAACTTCAAATTTAAAACGGATGATTTGATGACTTAGTCATATTTATAAATTTATTGCAAATAAGATAAATTATTTTTTTATAATTTTGATTACGGTAGCTAAAAATATAATCTTTTTTCTTCAAAGCAATTTTTTTCTATTCGTTTTATGTTATGAATTAATAAAGCACCCGCCGATATTGTAATATTTTATATAAAACTGTATGAATAATCATTTACGAGAGACATTTCTGTGGGAAAACAAAAAAGAGCCAATATGATTGATAAAAATAAATATAAATTTTAGATATTTACCTTGCAAAAATGTCAAAACAAGAAGCAGATTGTGAAATAAAATTGCTAATAAATTTTACCAATCGTCTTTTTTAAATAAAAAAACTTCTGGGACGGATAATAGGAGTAATATTCAAGAATGACAAACATCAAAGCAAGTCGTAAAGGTTAGAGTTGAAATTATATTCAAAATTATATTCAATTTAATATATAATTTAATATACATTAAATATAATATATAAAAGAAAAATAAAAAAAAAATAATTTTTATACATGTTGCAAGGAATGCGACTGAACGATGCGCAGTATTTTCGATTGCCTTTGCCGCACACGCGTAAGAAGATGACGATAATACGTGTAATGCCGCACATCGTAGACATGAATTGCTCTTATATAATTCAGAATTCGACTACGAGTCCGAATGCCGGACTTGAAATAACGTCTCGATGTCGCGGCAAGACTTTGGAATCGAAACAGAGTTCTGTCGAAATAGCGCTCGTGACATGCAACGGCTTCGAAAGCATTGATCAAAGTAAGAACTAAATTCATAAATTGACATTGTGTATATTAATAAATTGATATATAATACATTCGATAAATTAATTGTTGTACAAAATAAATTAATGTTAATTGACATGGACACGATTATAATAAGATGTTTAAAATGTCCATATTCAAAGTTAAGGAAGGACGTCAGGACATTTGCATAGAGACCGAAGCTATCAAGGTTTCCAACAATTCATCGTTCTTAACGTGGCAAAAAGATAGTCTATCGATGGTTCCGAACGATTCCAAGAAATTCGCAGATTTTCCGCAAGTCGAAGATGATTGTCGGGAAATCATATGGAATTCGGAAGAATTGCGAAACCAGGTGGAGCGCAACTGTGGCGATCGCGTTGTCGAGCTCACGGAAGAGAAGAAGTGCAATAGTTGGTGGAAGGATAGCGGCCAAACAATTTTACAGTTTTTCGCCAAGATACTGGGAAAACGCGGCGGAATAGGCGCCAAGGGAGCAACGGGTTACGTCTTGCCTACCGGCAAGCAGCCTTGCAAGCGTGTCAAGCGCGTCTCAAGGGATGGCAAAGGCCATAACGGATGCGGAAAAGACGTCGATGGGATACGCTTGAAGCGAGTCAACAACGGCTACATTGGCTACATTGCAAATCACGTATATAGGTATATAATATAGTTTGCGAGTATATACTTATTGTTTCAAAATCCTGAAACACAAAAATTTAAAACTTCTTTGAATATATTGTTATTTAAAGATTCTAAAACTTTAGAATTTGAAATGAACATCTAACGAAAATTAAATTTTGCTATTTTTAATACAGTTCTAAAGTTTAAGTTAACAGCATTGAAAATGATTGATTAATTAAATTAATTAATCATTGAGAAAGAGAGATTGATGGTGGAGAAAAATGAAAGGAAAGGGATCAAAGGAAATTTATAATTTGAAACCTTTAACGTTGCACAGGACTCATTATTGGAAATTAATGCAAAAATGAGGTGATATGCATTTGAGATTTCCGTCCAATTTGCAAGTGTTAGAATTGATTATAAAAATGCGAGAGTGTTATGAATTTTACGACTGATTTATACGCGTGAGTTTTGTAGAATTCCGGCCGAGTAGTCACAAATTGAGTTCGCGATTTTACGAACGCAGTTTGTCCGACGTTACGTGACACGCACGTTTACAAATAATTTTAAACGCGTTACGCGGCGCATCGGTATAAAAATGTGCTAGCGCCTAAAATTGAATGCAGTCGTGACGCGAAAATAGCTCGTCCTTTTTACGAAATACGTGCATACGTTCCGGTCGAATTGATATTCATGCGCCATGTCTCGTACTCGCGCTTCCTCCACAGGGACGAGACGAGCCGGTATGAGGGCGTCGTGACGGAAAATAAGTCGCGCGAGAAGCGGCAGCATCATCCCTCGATTCTCGTGCGACAGATACAGCGGACGCGTGACAAAAATCTACGGGTTATGCTGTTGGAGCGAGAGCTGCGCGCACATTTGCCGAAAACTACCAGGAGGGAACTGCGACTAACTGCGAAGGTCCGACAATTAAGCAGCCCCCTCTGTTAAAATTCTCCTGTTTTAAGGAAACTGATACTTCGAGAAGAAATTTAATTTCAGATCACGTATTCAGCTCGATTTTTATCATAAACACGTCTTAATACGTTCACGTTTTATTTTAGCGTGGCGTATAATAGGATGTAGACAAAATAATAATGTGAACATCTGAGAAATACATTATTTGTTTTATTAACAAGGTTGGCTTATCATCTGTCTTTAATTTGGGAATAATCAGCTGATTTATTATACCTCGTATTAGCGAAAAAATAAAATTCACAATCAGTTTTATAATAGTTCTGTTTACTGATCGAGAGAATCTGTATCTATTTAAAAAAAATTTTTTTTTTAATGTTCAATAAATTCATATAATGATCTTAAATGATAATAAGAGCATTCAATAATATACATAGTTAATAATAGTAACTTTTAATTGGAATGTATACAAACTATCCCCAGGTAATTGTTCACACAAAAATTGATTATATATTCTCGGATTATTTGGAGAACGGAGGATAATTTTGAAAAATAAAGTGAGATGCAAATTTCCTTCTCCATATCACTTATATAAATAATTGAAAGAAGTCTTGCTAAAAGAATAATACAACGTTTCTATGAATGTTCATTCAAGCATTGTATGACTATTATATGACTATTCCAGGGAATAGAATCTCTAGAATAAGGGCAAATGATAAATCAATCTCTTATTATTAACTCTTACCCTACTAATATGGGTCACTAGTGATCGAACGATTCCTGTTCGTGCAAGTTTCTTTGAGTCTTTCGGTAATTATAAATTATACCACATTTTATTATTTTCCAAAATAAAGTGCCAATATTTATTCTAGAAAGTTGAAAGTATGTTGGTGAATTTTTAGAGATTTTTTGAATCATTTTAAATAGATAAAAAAAAAATGGATTCTAGTGGTCCATGTTTGTAGGAATGATCAAATTGTATCTAGTATGGTTAAAATAAGTAATGTATTTCCCAGATATTCATTATTTTGTTTATTCTCTGTATATAATAGTCAGAATTTTGCATGTTTTGTACTTTTAAAACAATAATAAAGTCCATTTAATTGACATCGATAAAGGGTGGTCTGTGGCAAAAAGTTTTTAAGCTTATGATAAAAATATCTATAACAGTTTCTATATTTGTATCTATATATCTGTCTAATATATATATCATATGATCTTCGATATCGCTTAGCATTTCTATAAGGAATGTAGATTAGTTCAATCGTGGATGTGATCTCACCAGGCAACGTGCAATTTGACATTGCCGCACCTTTCTCAGTTTGCAATGGCTCCCGTTGCACCGATTTAATGTTGGCCTCATGAAGTATCTCGAGGTGCGGATGGCTGCCGATTATTTCCGGTTCCGGTACTCTAATCACGAGCACTCCCTCAGGATTCTGTTGGTCGCGCGTCTCGAAGCTCGTTTCTTGCCACCTATCTCTTATAGCCTGTGGCCGTATCGTTTCGTCTATAAAAATAATGTACGCGCGGTTAATAATACGCAATTTTATATTCACCGTTACTTATGCATATCTACGAAAACTGTAAATATATATAAAAAAATCGAGCAATTACTCTAATGATTTAATAAATGGGGAACTATATATAAAAAGAACGATTTTGCTGAAAGATGAAAAATCTAAAATTTTGCTAATGCTATAGATCTGAAAATAATTTTGTTGAACTATCAAAACAAATGTGTTGGAAACTTAAACTGGTTGCTAGAAAATCAAAATTTTTGAAGGATTATTCATCATTTTTAGTTTCCAATATAATTATTTTGATGGTCTAACAAAATTATTTTCAGATTTGTATCCAGTAAAATTTTAGATCTTTCAGCAAAATCATTCTTTCCGTGTAGATTTAATTAGTATGTAATAAGAATGAGTAGCTTTTTTGTATTCTAATATAAAAGTTCAAAATACCTCCTTTGCGTACCTGGTGCCAATCCTTGATCCTGTTGATGCACTATGCAACTCGGTGAGTTTGCTTCCCGATTCGCTGCTTTTTGCTGTTTCAAATTTTCGTCTAGATCTAGTAATACCGGCGAATGAGCATAATCTTCATCGTTACTCTCGTTTTCAGACTGGAATATAAATTTGTCTTTTTTCTAGCTATTTTTCAACATTGATGTTTGAACATGATTTCTTAACGCACCGATTCTCTCCTCATCGATCGAAATAATCGCGATACGGAAATAAATGCGACGCTAAAATTTGTGGATAAGCATTGTAAAATAAGTTTCAAATTGCCCTAAATCATCCTAATAGTATCTTAAATTGAAAAATTAAAAGATAACGAAGAACAGATTAAAAAATGAACATAAAATATATGAAACTTAAAGTACATTAATATTTAATAGATTTAGTACGTTTTTCAACATAATTCCATTTTTTATTTGTAAAAGATGCAATTATAATACGATATACTACTCTTATTGTCGGTTATTATCACGAAATATTCAATAGAATTGTGAATTGCTGAAAAATAATTATAAATGGAAATTATAAGTAAATTTCTTAAATATTATGTATTGTAATCGATTGAAGGAAATATCAATTCCAAATTTTACTAAACATCAATAAATATTTGGATATCATGATAACTAATAATAAGAAAATGGAAACAATTTATTCTCGCAGAAATTAAGTGACCAGACTTAAACACAAGTCTTTAATTAAGAAACTTGAAGACTATCGACAAAATGTCAAGAGAGAATTTGGTTTCTTATCAAAACCTAAGAAGAAGTTTAAAGAAGTGAAAAGTCTGAAAAAAGTTTTCTTTTTCTAATTTGAGTGAAAATATGTAATAATAAATTAAACATAATGCATGCAAACTATATTTACATTTTACAAAATACTCATAAATAGAAAGTGTAGTAAAACTTTCGAGCGATGTAATGTATATTATTATTTTATTTTGCGAAACTAAAGGCACGTTTCTCAAAAAATGTAAAATACATAAACATTTCTGGATCCAAAATACATAGAGTGTATTTTGTAATATAAAAGAACCTTTTATGTTACAAAAAAGTTCACGTCGGCCTACACTTGTGCACGAAATAAATAAGTAAAAAAGATAACGGTTCAATTGCATTATCGAGCAATATTATGGTGGTTACATTTTTGTGGTAGTGTCGCATCACTTCGATTGCTTCTACCTCGTTCTTCACCGGCTCGGCGCGATACTCCTCCGAATTTTGTTCCATCGCGGACACCCGATCTAGCACAAACGGCACGTCCTCGTTAACCCTGATATCACCCATCGACGTATCGAAGAGAAACGATGTGAAAAACTGACGGTTCGCCCTTCTCGACGAAGTATCGTAAGGCGTTTATCACGTGGGTCTAGCGGCCACGTTTGTCCTCGGATAAGATGTGGATCAGCCACAGACAGTCGTTATTAATGTTAATTTTATCCGTTTATTAAGTATTCAGGTGTTCCGCGCCAGAGGTTCTCAGTTTGTCGCAACCAAGAAGAGAGAGGAGTGTATCAAATATCATATGAGCCCTGCCTAAAGTATCACAAGTATAGTATTTTTAATAGAGTATTTGTGTATCATGTATATAAAATGGAAAATTAGAAAATTATTATTATATAATAATAAGAAAACGCTCGTAAAAATTTGTAAATAATTACAGCAAATGACCATTATTTTTTTATATATTAAGCTAATTTTCATAATTATTGCAATAATATTTATCTAAGATGTTTACACGAAATTATTTATGTCGCATATTATATATACAATTTGTTTAGTTTAAATCAACGATCAGAATTGGAAAGTTGATATTAATTATTTGTGACTCGGTTAAGTAACAATTTAATTTGTTGAGAAAAAATTTTGTTTTCAACTGTGTTTGAAGCTTGCACAATAAAAAATATTTTTTAAAAAGTTATTTGTACCTCCCAAAGAAATTAAATAGAATGCTGTTAAGGTGGCCATACCTGGTGTATAATATTAGCATAAGTATGAGAGTCTCTGGGATGATCGGGATAAAAATGGGAGTACAAACATCGGAACATAATAGACGCCCGACCGATGGAAATACTAATGAGGTGGAACTGTGCAAGTATAACAGATCGTAAAGGATGACGCACCGTGGGCGGAGATGCGACGAGAATTACGAATACGAGGGGAAAAGAAATTTGAAATTGTGCCGTGCTTTCGTCGGTTGTAAAACAGATACGCGAAGTCGAATGTTGTTTCTATATTTTCAAGTGATCGAAATTCGCGTAACAGTGAATATTTAACCTATATCGCTAGCTGTATTTCTTAAAATATTTCTGTAAAAGAAATATCCTTTCATAGGTATTTTTTAACAGATTCTTAATAAATAATTTTTATTAAATAAAGAGTTCTCGCGAAAGAAGTTGCACACGCTCCGACATTGTTGCACCAAACACATTTACACGTCTGCGAAATGTATATATGCATCAACTATATTTTCTCGGTGTATTCTTTATATTCAAAACAGTCCTCCTCAAAATGCAAACTTTGTTTTATTTCCACTTTACCCGAATATCTTTGAACTCGCAAGTCGCGAGATTCTAGAAATAAACGACGATGTTGAAGAGGGCACATCCGACGTATTCTGACGTGCATCTATATCTGAAAGAAAATGGCATATAAATATAACGTTTATATTTCTTGTGATCCAAATATTTGACGGTATAATACAAATACACACATGAGAGGAAGATATATATATATATATATATAGAGAGAGAGAGAGAGAGAGAGAAAATAGTGAAAGATTATGATTACCATAAGTCAACGAATAATCTTTCTTTCTGCAGAAAAAACATGTCAACGCCACACGTAATTCCTTGTTAAATGCAAAGTAAATCCAAGGATTAACGCAACTCGTGAGACTATTTAGGAGACTTAGAATAGTGAAAGCAGCCCCTGCAAGTTATGATGCATACAATGAGATAAGAATTAATAAATAATTTAATACCTTAAGAAAATATTACAGAAACATTAGATCCGAAAAATAAATACAGATGAGATCCCGCTATTTTGCATATTAATACGTATCTATAATAATAATATAAATTAAGAGACTACATACATAATAACAAATTAACTTTATTATATAAGTGTTATGAATTGTAATCAATTATAATTTGACTGAAAGAATAATAATTTTCAAATTACTGAAATGTCAATAACAATGAAAATGATTAGTATTATTTTATACTTTTTTATTTATCCTATTACCATATGTATTATTATTTATCATTATCCTTTCATAGGATATTTACCTGTAAAAAATGGCGAGGTGGAAGCTTTAGGATCCCATGTTGCCCACAGCTCGCATCCGATAAACGGGGTATTGGTGACGATGTATAAAGTAACCACAACGATCATTTGTTTTACAGTGTTGATCATTGCTTTGGAGATAAGGGGATCTCGATTTCGCTGACAGAAACTGATTTTGTTGCTTCTTTTGAGATCAATGAGTCCCGATAGTTTACTACTTCTCCATATCGATATGCATATTCTTGTGTAGGTATATACGAGCACTATGAAGGGTAATAAGAACTGCATAACACTGTACCTATAATTGAATCCAGACATCTCACAACATTTAAATCTATTAATGTTATTAAATGTTATGTTATAAAAATCAGATATTTTTTAATGAAAAAATATATAAATGGATATATATTACCAAGTAATATAGGCTCTCTCGCCATATTTTAGGTAGAAGGTGGCCCAACACTCCCAAACACCGGGCGATATTTCCATGTATGAGAATATAAAAATCTAAAATTATTGAATGAAAGAGATTTGTAATTTGTAATAAGAAACGCATCGACGTTACGATTGTCCGATGGTTACGCTAAAGACACGTTTACCAAAAATATTGAGAAATTTACTAAGTACAAAATATGCTTGCCGCTTATAAATGCATTGACATTTATAAGCGATAAGTCTCAAATAATTATGATACGTAGCTGCTCATGCTGATACGTAGAAAGACAGTTTTGTCAAAGTATTTAAAAATTTAAATAGTTAGATATAAATTTGAAAATAATTTTGTTCCATATCAAAATAATTATATAGATTGTTCAAACCGGTTACTAGAATATTAAAACTTTTTGCAACATTATGCTTAAATTTCTTATATAATTATTTTGCTAGTCTAACGAAATTATTTACAGATCTGTATCCAGTTGAACTTTTTTAGATACTTTAATAAAACCATTTCTTTCTGTGCAAATTAGCGTGTCAGCACAATTAGATTTGTGCCCGCTGTCTGTATAGGATAAAAATTAATATCTCAAGTAAGCTGGTCCACCTTCCGCGCGTGGCAAGGTGGATCGTGCAAGTAGGATACGTCTCGCGGGGAAGCGGAGAGACAGCAAATTAAATTTTCAACGGACCTGTGGTACGCACAGCATAGCAGCGAGCGTCCATGTCCCGTACACCATCATTTTCGATCTTCGAGATGTGACACTACAGTAACTGAAGGGATGGCAAATGGCATGATATCTGTCCATCGCGGTCACCGTCAGGATATAGGAACTGAGATACAGACCGAATGGCTGTCCGAATTTGATCAGTTTGCAGAGAACTGCACCACCCTGAAATCTGACCGCCGTACAGTCAATTTTGTTTAATCGGATCGTTTATATCGCCTTGATGAGAACAGATTTCTGCGATTTAAAATTTTTAGAATATTTCTTAGAATTGTATTTGGAAATTTGTACTTTAAAAATCAATTAACATATTCTCGTATTAACGTATTATACGTATTATAGATTGTTATTTATTTCTCAAAATTATTATATCGAAATTTTAATATGTTTATTTTTGTGAAAAACTTTTTTTACGATAAGTTATTGATAATTAAAATAGCAGATAACATTCTTGGGCTGTGAAAGCAAAACGTTAGAAGCTCTAATCTGGATTAATCCTATCATACATCATATCTTGATGGGTAAATATAATTTCCTAACATCAATCAAAGTGTCAATATATACGATTATGCTGGGGAAAATATAAGGTGTATCTGCTTATACTGCTTTTCTTAAAGTCTGTCCTGATTTCAGAACTTTAAGATGGTTATTCGCTGTCAATCGCGACAGTGATTAAACTTAACTCAAAAAAGATTTCTGATTCGTTTCTGTCATGTATATACAGTATTATATATGTATATATATATAATATATTTTTCTACATATATATTTAAAGCTATTTAAAGCTATTTAAATACTAAATTTAAATACTAAATTTAGAATAGTAAATTTATCTTTCTATTATTCTTTTATTTATTTATTTAGTTCATTATTTATCTATTTAAATTTCTTTTGCTAGTTCTGAAAAATGTTTTTCGCAGCGAAAAATATCGTTACAGGCGAAAAAACCTGTCTATTGTATGAGTATGTAAATCAATTAATATTCTATTATCAAAATTGAAAAAAAAGTTTTTGAAAAAAATATTTAATTTTAAGATTATTTTTCTTGTTCCTAAAAAAAATTTTATAGTACACATTATATTTGTAATATTTTTATCGTATAAAATTATAAAACATATTAAATTTATATACAGATATGTGAAAGTTACACACATAATTTTCAATAAATAATTTCGATAAATTCTGTTACATTCTGCGATTAATTTTTTGTCTAATTTCTCAAAACAATTTTTCAAATATCCATACCTGAATTCGAACATCTACATTCGAGTAATAGGAAATAATTATTTTAGATATAATTTATTAATTTAGAATAAAATATTATATTACCCTGATATTTAACTCTGAGCTACATCAGCAACGACAGCAATGAGTCATTTGGACTGAAGCGAAAATTTTAGACGATTTTTTTGGTGCAATCTGTACGATTGATGAGGTTCTAAATTGTAAGTAAAAGAACTTTAAAGTTCCTCTATCAATCACTATAAGACAACAGTTCACTTGCATTCTGTACTTTAAACAGAGCACTTTAGAACTTAGATGTAACTTTCATAGCTGTAGTGAAGAATATATTATTATTATTATTTTTATGCGTCTAAGGCCCAATTGTACCAATATTACTTTGACTTTAAGCGAAGTTAAAACTCTTCCTCCTTGTCTTGTTTTTAAAACGAGAGAAAGAGAATTTTGAGTCTCGCTAAAAGTCAAAGTAATGTTGGTCGGGTCTAAATAAAATAACTGATGAATAAAAAAAACGATATCAAAAGGCTATCATGATTAACATCGTAGTTGTCACAGACAAACAAATGCGCTCATATTTCCCGATTCCCGTTGCTATTGCTGTCTTCGGCGTAAAATGAAAATTTATTGGTTAATAAAAACTCATGAAAAAAGTCATAAGGTTAGTTGGAATGATTGCGCAGATTACCTGAACGTTATGTCCCAGGCGAGCTGCGGCAGAACGTCGAACAGACCCGTCAACAAATCGGCCACGCTTAAGTGCATGATAAAAAAGTACATCCTGGTAAACTTTCGTCGTTGATAACGTCGCCGAGCGTAAAGAGCCAACAGGATCAAGACATTACCGATGATCGTGATGAGAAATATGCTGGTCAGCACCGCGATTTCCCACCTGGCGAGATACTCGTCTCTCGCATCGTCGTCCAACGGCAGCTCCGAGGACGACGAGGAGTTCAGATCGTGTGACATATTTCCGGGACACTTCTTTCGCACGCGGTCCTTTCGACCCGCCGTTCTGTCATTCAGATAATCCTCACCCAGACGAAGGAAAAAAAGAAGAGAGGAAAAAGAGGAAAAGAAAAGAAAAGAAAATTTCGTACGAATCCGCGCTTGTTACGAGCGTGCGATGCGAAACTCGGGTGGCGGTTGAATATTCATACCGATTTCCGGTAGCGCTAACATGACAATGCTTGTTCTTCGACACGACAATACGAAATGCTTCTTCTGAACATGTCGTATATCGGGCATCGCGAAAATGCGCCGATCGAACGGTTTAACATTTGGAATTACGGTTTCACAACGCGGGGAGAGAAATCCAACGCGGTTGGATGAGATATGAAATTGGCGAAGGATTTCAACGTAATTAGCGCGATTTCCACAAAAGCATGTAAACGGAACCGTCGATACGAGAGACAATGTCGACACTGCACTCGGCCCGACCGCGTCGCGTGTCTCATCACGAATCGGTCAAGGTACAATGGAAATATCGAGTCCAACTGGAAGAGTCCGAGGAAAAACAGTGTTACGTGATGAAGGTAGAAGATTATGATTGTGGCGATTTTACACATGTTTATAATTAAGATTTTTTTTTAATGACTCACTAAATAAATTCAAAAAATATATAATATTGTATATATAAATTTCCTTATTATATTCAATATTCCGAGGATCTCTAAAGAAAGTATAATTTGTAATATACTTCCAACTTCAGTTTATGAATTTCTTGAATTAAATTATAAATGGACAACATATTGAATAGAAGCAGTGATGACCTATAGGAATGATTAAAAATAACCCAAATAGTAGGTATAATTTGACATAATGAATTTAATAACAACTGAAAAATATATTAAAAAATTTATGTATAGGATTATTAAGCACCGAAATCTGTTTTGACCAAATATAAGATTCTTTCTCTTATTTGTATTAAAAGAAGCGTCTCGGCATTTTCAACCATTTTGACGTCAATTGTACGTAAATTGTTTCATATCGAAACTTCAGCGAGTTGTCGATATTTTATTTTGAAAAGGACGATTAATAATTTAAGCAATATTATTCTGTTGTGTAAATGAATGGAAAATCTTCGACTTTGTGTATAATTTATATAGAATCACTGTGTGTTAGTGTGAGAATGTTATACTAAACGAGCTTAACAATTATGAAAATGCATTGTAATATCATCGTCCATGATATCGATTGCATAAACAAGACTGATCTTTAATTGGAACTTTACTAAGCAGTGAAATATCCAAGAAATATGGTTATAATATGAAATAATACATATAAATAAGCAATCGACTTTATTGATTATTAATATCTGTAGAAAATCGTGTAAATAATTTAATCAATTAAGAGATCATGGATTTCGTATTCGTTAATAAATTAATTACTTTCTTGGAAAATTTAATGGCGCTTTATTGATTTTTGCTTGTAAGATCAATAAATAACAAAAAGTTTCAATAAAATATTTTTTACCTTTTAGATGAAGTCTAATCGATTCTGGTTTATCGACGAACTTCACTGCACCTGCGTGTTATTTTACTGCCTGTTTTTTCCCTATCAAATTTAGATTCCAAAAACTCGCCCGCATAACTACTTTACAGATTCGGCGGAACAAAAATATTTTTACATTCATAATCAACGTATTTTCTTTTAAAACAATCGTTTCTCTCGCAAAGATATGTAAAGATCATCAATTTATTCTAGTATATTATCCGAATTCTAGTATACGATTTGTAAATTCGATCTATAATCTTTCTATGTGATTGGAAAAATTTGTGTCGAATTTCAAATGTCTCAAACGATCCACTAGTTGCATTATTTTAACATAAGATGAACATGTAGCATAAATATTATGTAAAAAAATTGATACAATTAATAAAAATATAGCATGATACAATTTGTAAGAAAGTTTATTTTTTCAATAAAATTAACATTTACGATATGTTAAATTAACATGAATTTTATTTACTTATCTTAAAATTTTCATTTTAAAATATATTATTTTTATATTATATTATTTTTTCCTTTATTTATAAATTGTCATTTTGATACTAAAAAATACCGACATATAAAAATATCAATTTAGCACATAATATTTAAATGACATAATCACATTATATTATAACACAGTCACAAATATATTACTAACTAACTAACACTTACATATGTTAAAAAATCTACACTAAATTTTAACAAATATAAAATTTTTTTTACTGTGCATATGTCTCGAAGATATTTATTCCGAAGCGCACGGAAGTAAAGTCTATAATTATTCATATTATCAATTGGAACGAACATTTTTACGATAATTACATATGACGTCTAATTCCTAGTTCATAGCAATTTGCTGCTAACGATTCTCAGTATTGAGTAATATTGCAAACTATTATATTATTGACAGAAATCATCAATGTCACATGGATGTCATCGAAAATGCTCTCCGTTATTATTTACAACATCAAATTTCATTAAACTTCTTTTTAGGAACCAACTATTTATCTTAACCTTTTATCAAGGTTTTATTGAAATACTCCGCAAAAAATGATCGTCCTCCGGTGCATAAAGGGATCTTCCTAATGCATTGTGACTCGCGACAAGAAATATGATTGGACTCCTGATTGACTTTTTCAATGTGATCGTGTATTATTTATAAGTTTGTGCACTTTGTACGGAAAAGGCATCAAAATTACAAGACAACAAATATTAAATATCGACGAAGAAAAAAAAATGCAGAAAAACTAAATTGAAGTGCACACAACTGAATTTCTAACGATTCAATAAAAAAATCATATCGTTATTTCTTGGGTATAATATATATTTATCGTGACTGTAATAAAAAAAATATCGAGAAAACTATATTATTACGTCACAAAAAAATAATGCGCGTTATATTGCATTGATATACCAGTTTTTTTTTTAAGAGAAGATAATTGTAGGTCATCAAGTATGGTATTATCAAGTATGTTCACGTGAATAAGTATGTATTAGTACAGGCTTATTTTTTTGTCAAAGTCATTCGCGCTTTTTATGCAACGAGAAAAAAAATCAATATTATTGTTTGCTTTCAATTGGAGAAACACAACATCTTTTTGTCAGCGCTTTTTAATTCGTCTCTGAGACAACCCCGCGAGCATGACTCGATGATTGACTCACGGCCAACTGTATAGCTGTAGCTGTATAATTAATTAGCGAAATGCAATCTCGATGTAAATGCGTTCATGTGCATCGGTTAATGATCGAGCGACAATGTCGAGTGGTCTGGGCGTGATCGCGACAGCTCCGGACGTTTGTTTGATCAAGGTGTATATGCGAGTTTGTTATGCGACGTATGGCATTGAATTGTTAAACAGTCCACTTAAATAGGCGAATGTGACCCACAGGTCGCGAGACGATCGAATGAGCTGAAAGATCTTGGCAGGTTGTAATTATACTCTGTGCGCGCGTTTAAAGCCTGGTTGTACAACTAGTTTCTCTCTTAATCTTATAATTATTGCAATCATTATTGTAGAAGTTTCTCTTAAACGCTTATTTTAGTCGACACTAAGTAAAAGTAACATAATATTAATATTATAATTTCACACTCTCGATGTAAATGTAATAAAGTACATGGTGTTACATGACAGCTACGTTGTTGAATGATAAATTATAATATTAATATTATTTCCAGTAGGTATTAACTGGATGATATACAGTCTTTCATCATATTATTATTTACGATATACTTGTTAAAAGACTTGTAATATCAAAAAGTATTTTTTATTTTACAAAAATAAATAAATATTTGAAATACTATCAAAATTGCTTTTTTATTAATTAAGAATGTTCAAACAAATAAAGATTCTACCTTAAATGTACAAAAATAAAAATAATTGTGAATTCGGCTATTCAATAAATCTATCAAAAAATCTAAAATACATTTAATAATATGGTCTAGGATTATAAGTTCAATATTTTATATCATCATTTCTCAACCTTCTCTGCTTAACTCTATAAATATTCATCTTTGACAATCGCTAGTTGAGAAAAAGAGAATAATCAGAATATTCGTTCAAATATTCTGTATTCCACTAATTTTCCGTAATATATGCGACTCCTGAGAAACGTGGCGCAGCTGGAAGTTGCGCCGACAATATAGTTAACGTTGAGAACTATCGTTTTACATCGTTGCTTACGATGTATCAAGATGCATCCCTTTCGACAGTTTCGACGGGTGTCGCACGTAATTCACTCGGAAGGGAGAGAAGGGAAGGGGGGCAATCGATGTTATTTGACTCTCATAACTTACTCTACTATTGTCGGCACTCCATTCCGCTTTGCGCTGCCGACTGCCGAAGAAAGAGAGAGGGGGAAGGGGAGAGGGAGTTGGAGAGGGAGAGAGAGGAGATTCTATGATCTTTACGTTTCTTCGTTCCTACCGGCAAAACTGGTCTGCCTCGTGCCAGGTCTTTTCGCCGGCGCAGCAAGTAAAGACGTTTATCATTGTCGACGTTGCTCGTCACCCCCACGTCGTTCTTAGTTATTACGGGTTATGAGCGTCGGGGGTGCATCACGCCGGTCGATATAAAGGGAGAAAGTGATGACCTCAACGCGTTGAGCAAAGCTTCATAAAGTAAATTACTATACGTCGCATGTACATCTTATGAGGATTACGGAAAGACGTCATCAAAGAAGATTCCGCCGTTTAAATCGGTATTTTGGTGTGGACTTCGATTCCATCCCCTTTTCTCTTTCTTTTTATTTTATTCCTTATGTAGTCGCCTGAGATATTTAAAAATCTCAGGGCGCAAAAATGAGCAGAGTAACTCGTATAGATTACAATGTTAAGCGTCTGATAAATTTGATGTCGGACTTCATTGGAATTTTTCTTTCGTAAGAACGCCTTGAATTTTGCGAGACTTACAGCTCTATTCTCTTAAGGATTTGTGATGCTGCATGCAAGATACCCTTTTTTTACAAGAGTAAGTTTGAGCAATTTATAATCTGTCTCGTTGCTAATAAAGTACAGACACAAAAAATTCGAATAAGCTATGTGTTTAAATTCGAAATAGAAATGTCTAAGTTTCACATTTGAAATTAACGTTTATTTGATTAGATAAAAAATTTGAATAAATTGCTTAAATTTAAGAAGATTTAAATAAAGATGATATATAAAGAATAATACAAAAAAGTTTTATTTCAAATTTGTATAACCATCTTTTTTTCAATATCAATTGTGATGATTTTAATGATTCTTTATAAAGTTAAATTAGTTTAAATTTTATTTATGCCTATGGAAAAAAATTAAAAGTATACGTGAAAAATCTGAAATAGTAGTGGTGACTAAATAGGAATTTTAGGGTTACTTTGACATACTTAATTGGTTGATTAAGTTTGTTAAAGTGATCCTTAATCACGAAGCAAACTATAGCTATTTTATATGATTTTTTAAAAAGATTTACTCTTATATATGTCTCCGAATTATCTTGATTTTTTTCTTTTGTTTCTATTGCGTGCATGTGGTGGGAGTAGCTCGAGACTTGGGCTTTTCATAAGAAATAATTAATTGCAAATACGGGAAGAGTTCGCGAACGTAGTAAAGGTGACAAAGGAGGAGGAGAAC